TGGGAGATTTGATGACCTCATGACATTATGTCACAATAGCCAACATTTTCACAAGTCTAAATTCATCTCTTTCAATGTATTGCCAATACAGTTCAAAATCTAAATCAAACAGATCGTCATTTCAGATTTACAGATAACATGGGAATTCCGTCAAATCAAACACTTCTAATATGTCTCCAGTTGTAGCGGTATTAAGGCTTATAAGTTAATCGGTTCATCATGACACTGGATTTATGAAGAAAGATATATTTATATAAGGTGTATATATAGACTACCTTTATGTAACAGATAGCTTGGAACACATGTACTAAAGGTGCAATAAAGTGAAAGCTTGCCTACTTTTTTTTCCTGACTCAGCATCACGGTTACCTTGGCAGATATCAGTCCCAGACTCCCGTGGGACAGAGAGGACATTTTTTTCAGTATCAAATAGACCTATGTCTAGAACATGCTTCCACTTTATTATCCAACATGCATTTAACTGCAGCATTCTCTGGTGACCTTCCTGGAAAAACTCAGCTTTACTGTTGCATGGCTTCAGTTCAAATCTATATTATGAAAACATTCTTTGTCTTAATGATAGAAAAGAATATCAGCCTGTGACAGATAAAGGAAGCAATCAGTTTTTGGATGACATTAAGAACTAAGTGTACACACAACTTTTCTGAGAGATAGGAAGCTTAATATAGTGATGCTGTTGTAGAAAGGGCTCTTCATAATACCTTTTCTACCATGTATTTAGGACTTTTTAATGCATGTCCATACTTTATGGCTATTTATGAAACCAATAATATTCACATGAGCCTAATAAGTTTACATATATTTATATATGATCAAATACCTATCTTTTAGACACTCAACTGTTTCATTACTGAAAAAAGCACGTTTTTTCAGAATTGATCAAAGATCTATATCACACAGAAGCTAATTGACATATAATTTTTTTTTGGTTTTTTTCTGTCACTTGAATGAAAATTATTGTAATTGGGAATGTAATAGACTGAAGAACAATTAATAATGACCATCAGATGAAATGGATAGTATCATTGCCTACACCACTATTTTTTTTTTAATAAATCACCAATGGACAGATGGTACAGAACTCCAGCACTCTTTGCAGATTATCAGTTTTACAAGCTAAGCCACAATCAAACTATCTAACCTTCTGAGAAATCTTTAGCTAAGTCATCAAACGCCATACACTAAATCTCTCTCTTATTCCTACCTTAGAAGAAAATAATCCTGACAATGATCTAATAATTAAGACTTACTATAAAAGATAAGTCACTTGATCCAATCTATTTTAAAGCTATATAACTTAACATCTTGTAAAAGGACATATCAGAATGTCAGTCTTCCTTTATTTCTCAATAATTTGTAGGAATTATATCATTAAATTTTATGAAGTTCTAAGTGCCGAGAGGTCTATCTATATAAATACAAAGTGAGCGCCTTTCACCTGATTGAAGCTTCAGGATAAGCTCTATAATGACACAAACTTCATCATCAATCTCAAACATATCAGGTTCCTTTTTATTGTATTTTTTTCTCTACAGGAAGAACAATAAAGATTTACATAAATGCCCTGGGGATTCTTAATATCAGTCTATATTGTTTGATCTTATTTCATTCCCTTGTCATGAAAACTTTGGTAGAAATTCAATTCAATGTGATTTTCAAAAGGACATACTGTAAAACGAGAATATTTGGCGCACTACTAATTTTAGCACCTTTGGCGCAAGAGCCCCTGAATGCTAAAATTTATTGTGCGCTAATGGATTTCTAAATATTATATTTTGTGTGTGTTCAAAGCTTTCACATAAGTAAATGTAAATCGGAATGCGCAATTACATAATGCCGAAAGGTCGTTGGATTTTATATACACACTAACACTGTACATATGGTAGGATCTATCGAGAAAGTTCTGCTAAATTATAATTTAATTAAACTATTATTACCATGGTAGTTGGTACCCGTTACTTATCATTAACACCTGCAAAGTTTGGCTTCTCGGCATGTCAATCATCTATTGCCTAGAGGTAAACAATGTAATCAAGCGTGGCGATTGAGCTTGCAGACAATGCCTGATTATGATGACTGTTTATCCAGGTAACTTTCGTTCGATGCATGCATTGTTTTAATATTAATAAAATGCATAAATACTCCATTTCTTTTTTTTTTTTTTAAATAAAATTAAAATAAATTTTAACACTGTGCCATGTCAATGTGATTGCAACACCACGGTAAAGTTGACGAATGTTTACTTACATACCAGAGTGCTATTGAATTTCTGTGCTTGACAAACCAAAAAGTCAATTACAGGTGTAGATAAAAAAAAACAACAAAATATCACATTTATCTATTTTAATGAGAAGTGCTAGTGCTAAAATTTATGTGCGTCAATGCATTCCCACTTGCGTTTGCGCTAAAATACGTATGCACCAAATTTTCTCGTTTTACAGTATTACCTGAAAGACTAATTTTAATTCTATAAATAGCATTTAAAAATTCTTTCTATTGGTGCTTTTTTTGTTGAAGACTATGCTAAAAGATTTTGTACATAGTACTTCTTTTAGTTTAGTATACCACATATTCTCTCTTCTATATTAGTCAATCACAAGGCACAGTGGTAAAAGCATCTTCTCCAGAGTCACAGAGTAAGGAGTTGATCCTTTCATCAAGGGTTCAAATCCCACTGTGGGGCGTAGAGACCAGGCCTGGGGGCCATAAAACTAGATGAGCTCACTTTTGATCTCAGTCTCACTTTTCCAATAGATAAAATAAGACTGAGATCAAAAGTGAGCTCGTCTAAGTTTTATGGCCCCCAGGCCAGTCCTTCAGATGAGACCATATAAACTAAAGGGACTGTGTCGCAGTAGGTGCTGACACAAAAAAGATCCCTCACTGCTCAATGGAGCCGAGTGCCAAGCATTATAGGTCAAATAAGAGTGAAATTTCTCAAGCTGGGAACTATACTGGTATGTATATATGTATGTCCCATATACCTTTTAATCAGACATGAAGCATAAATTCACGAAATCCAAAAAATACCTTACAATCATCTTTTTTTAAATTGTGCATTAAAAAGATGATGCTAAAGACAATTGAAATTAATTTTTTCAAAGAAAAAAAAACCCAATAAATAACGATTTCAGAAACAAATTTAAAAAAAATGCGATAAATTAGTTACATAATATGGACTTTACTCAAAACCTTGAAAATAGAGAACTTTGTGTACATTTGCTATGTTATGATTTACACTTAATTTTTTTTAATTAAGTCTACATGATCAATTTAAAAATAAAAATAAATGTTCTTCATATTTTTTTGTCTAAAAGACGGCAGAATTTCTATGATTTTATTATATTTTATTATCAAGAATTTTTTTTATTTCTATTTTTTTTTTTTTAATTTATCTATTTTCTTTAAAACAATGTAGTGCATTCACACTATTATGTAACAATTATCTGCATACCACAGTTCCCAAAACATGGTAGAATTTGGGAAAATATATGCTAGTATTAGAGAGAGTGTCTTCTTCACCAAGTGGCTATGTAATTTTTTTTTTCCTGATCAAATATGAAAATTCTTCATTCTTCTAACTATAAAATGTTGACTGGTAACATACAAAATATTATAGATTTGTGCTATTAAAAATATCTTATTAAACATGGTGTCTTTGCTTTTAAGCTCTTTACCATACTTAAACTTAAAACAGTAGATCTATACCTTTTTTAAAATCAAGTATATCTAAAGCTTTCTAATTTAGATGATTGAATATTAATCTACAGAAATAAACAAGTATGCAATACCCATGTATCAAGTGACCCTCCATCTGAACACTCTTAAGACATTTTGCAAATAAAGGATCTTTTACCATACTTTCCCTCCAAACCAAAATATTTGCATAAAAAGACTTTACCATGAATTCTATTTTTGATTGAGAAAAATACTGATGGTAATAAACTGAAGATTACACTCAATTTTTTTCCCACCACACATTTCCAAATATGCAAAATCTGCAAAATGTAAATCTAATTTTCCTTTTTTTGTTCTTGATTAATTGAACATTAGAGTTATGCAGTTGCACTGTTTCAGACATCAGTCAATGTATATAACAGTAACCAGGGAAATCAGGGGATAATTTATAGACTCATTCTTTTTTTAACATCCTTAAATGTCAAAAATCTTGTATTCATCCCACTTTATGCATGTACTAAGCATCAACTTTCTACTTTAGATATTCTTAGCATCCTTCTTTAGTGTAATTTAAAATTTCATGAAATAGGAGTGTTTTAGAGAGCTGTGCCATAAAAGTATTGGAATTATTTAAATTTCAGATGAGCTGTAGTAAATTCTCCCACTGCCTCTCCAGAAGTAAAAAAACCTTCCTCTCTAAAGATGAAATCCAATAACCCTATCGGTCCATTACGTAACAAGCACAGTATTAAAAACAGAGCTCATCCTCACATTAATGGTAACGGCGGAGCTGTTTTAACAAATTAATTGCTTCAACACACCATAAGTATTCTCTTTTCAATTGGTCATCCAGTCACCTAAGAAACTCACACAGGAGTATTAAGTTTTTACACCTAGTATCTTAAAGTTCCCACAGAATGCAGTGTCAATGAAAACAAACCGTGAGTATGGGAGTAAGTTATTTTCCCTTCCACCACTAGTATGACTATGATTTAAGACTACATTTTTATTATCTCCCTTTTTGATTTTGCAGGTTTCTCTCCCTTTGTCATCCCTCTTTTGTCTCCCTTGTCAGGAGCTATTTACCTGATCACACGTTTTACAGTGGTACGACTTCCCCGCTTTGTTGGTTGGTTTGACCGGGTGGGGGATCACCAGTGGCGTATTGTTCGTTGGTGTCGATGGTCCACTCACACTTCCTGTGCTGCTACGGTAACTGCCAGAACTTCCCGTACTAATATGACGAAGGCCTGATGCATGGTCATTGTGGCTATTCACAGGATGCTCGGCATTTAGTCCTCCTAAAATACACAGTTTAGAAAATTATTATCGACAAGTCTTTAATTTAAATACATTTGTACCATGTTTTGATTCTTTAAAGTCTGATTAAAACAGACTTCTCAACTTTATACAACACCAAATGATTCTGTAATATTTGAGATGGGAGCTATAGGGAGGTGAAGGTATAGATAATACTCATTTTAAGGATTAGAGAGTAGGGACTTTCCAACTGTATTAAGTCGATATGTACAGATGGAGTAGAAACAGATCTGGGAGAAATGTGATCTTTCCGAGCTTGAAAGAAATGTCAGCTGACATTAATTCAAGGAAGTATTGATTTTCATTCTCTTTAATTCAAAGAACTGCAATTAGAAGATTTTAATTTCTCCCACAAACTCTGTTACAGAGTAACTCTTAGCTGTAAGAGAAAGCATAGAAATCGTAAAAAAAAAAAGAAAAAAAGAATGAAAAAAGAAGTCGAACAGCGCCATATACTTCAAGTTTTCTGTATCAATTTATTTAAATTAAAAGTTTCTTTGATGACTTAAAAGAAGTAATTAGAGGCATGTTGTCATCAAAACTTAATGAACATATTAATGGGAACTTCATCAGCAAACTGAGGATCTGTAATTCTCTACAAATTCCATCAATTTTCTCCGAGCAATAATAGAAAGTATTCTCAGAGCACTGTTCATGGTAAAAGACAGTTACGACCCTATTATGGAGGATGAATTCTTACGTTCCTACCCCATTTAGGAGGGGGAAAATTCTCATGGGATATTGAAAATCATTGAAATCAGGTTTCTACCAGCTTATTTTGGAGTCCTTTCCATAAACATTTTGCCTTAGTTAGATGATGAATTTCATAAATTTTCTGTTCTTACTTTTAGTGAAATTCATAAAAATAAATCTACATCTTTAAATAATGTATACATATTTTTTTTCAAAGGGGTCATAATTCCCTGGAATCATTTCATGTTCAATGTGCAGTAAAATTACTAGGATTTCATGAATTGTCTTAATTTCAGTTTGGAAAATAATTCGTCTATGCTACCTAAATTAATTTATAATTTCTATTGATGCCCCTGCATGGTGAAGGCAGAATTAGAAACCGTACATATTGCACAAATAGGTTATTTATTATTATAAACAAATTTTACCTCACATTTACAGAAAAAGTTATACAGAAAAATTAATTCCAAATTAATTTTTATATCTATACACATAATTTTGACAATTCATGTGAGCATCTTTAATCCTTAATAGATACTGTTATTCTGTGGATTCAATATAAAAAGGACCTGAAGCAAAGAATTTTGAAATGATGTAATTGCAGTAGGTCTCAAGGTAAAATATATTATCCATGTTCTAGATGAATATGCTAACCACTAGATGAAGACAATTTAGCAAAATTCTAATATTGTCATCCCATATTGCACAAAAATGCAGATTAGCTTTTTACCTCCAAATAATTAATATAGTTTACTTTTGACAAAATGAATTTTTCTAATTCCTAAAACAGATTGCATGGGAAACAAGCTGGCTTGATGAAAACTGGAAACTCAATATTTCTTAGATGTATAATACCCAAAGTTTTTTTTCGTTCATGATTTTTGAAAATACCTTTAGGGAAAAAAATTCCATCATACACTTTTAGAACTTACTATCATTAAATGAAGAAGACAGAATCTATACAATATAATATTGTTTGCTATTTCATGTAAAAATTAAGAATTAGTAAAGAAAAAAAAATCCTTCTAAAATTTATTACATTAAATACATCCATTATTAATATAAAGTAGTTATTGATTTCATGTGAAACATATATTTTTTCATCTGTCAGAGTTTGTTATCAACCTATATTCTTTCTGTAAAACTTTTGGACAGTGTGCAAGAGAGAGAGAGAGAGAGAGAGAGAGAGAGAGAGAAAGAGAGAGAGAAATATTTTTGTCTAATGCTCAAATATATTTTTCAGAATGAAACAGGAAGAAACAGGAAACTGAGAAGACAAAATTATAGATACAAAAGCAGCTGTTGTAAAAGGAAAAAAGTCAGCATCCAAAATTAAAAATAGGCACAGACAATGAAGGGACAGATGTGGCTTAAAAAGGAACATCATATAAATAAATGTAAAATTACATTATACATATAAATCTAAAAGATTGTAAAATCAAATAAAATTCTTCCTTATATGTTCTCATTAATTTATCTGTTTTACGTTTTTCTTTACTAAAGATAACCCAGACAGTTTAAGTTATGATATATGATAGAATCTTATGAAGATGTGTGAGTTTTTTTTTTGTAAATATTAGTAATATTATTCAAATCTTTTATAAACAGGTGTTTAATATATTACTAAGAGTTCACCTGAAGTAGGTCAGAAAGAGTTCCTTTAGGCAGAAGACAGACAATAATTCAAAGACAAATTAGGTTTTCTAATAATTAGGCATTCTTTCCTAGTTCAAAAAACTGGAACAAAATTAATCATTAAGTTTTTTTTTTTTAAATAAAAATCTTGGATATTCTCTAAGTATATAAATGTGAAAAATGTAAACTTTTTGATATATTTTAAATGCAGTATATGGAATGGCAAAACTACATTTTAATATATGCAAGACAATGAAAGAAATTCAAATTTAAAATCTCACATTGTGTGGTAAGAGAAATATCGCTTCCCTCCCCGCCTACCTAACCCAAAAAATCCTGTTTAAGAGAGGTACATTGTTTCCATATTCCAGTAGACTCAACTCCTTACAAAATGATAAAGAATTTCTTTAAAACCCGTTTGGAACTAATACAGCATGGCAATGTGTGCCAATTAAAGGTGATAGTCTGAACTTTTGCCTAAGACTACATGTGGTCAATAAGAATGAATATTATTTTCAATAATTAATACTTAATGACACAGCTGCCAGATAAATTTCTAGAATTATATAGAATCCACTGAACAAATTTACTGATATATATATATATATATATAAATATTCTTAAGCAAACACTAAATAATGTCTATAAATTAATTTTGATTTTTTTTTCTTATATGTCAAAACATGGAAAGGTCATGAAAACCCCTTCCACCTAGAAACTAATTTCTAACAAAGTGAAACCCTGAACATTTTTTATCGTGTTATGAAACTTAAAACTGTCTTATAATACTCACTAAAATAAAGATATTCTTGGCAGACAATTCTATGCTAAATTTAAGTACTCAAGAAGAATTTTACTGTTAGGATGCCAAAATGGATACAGACACATTAAGAGAAAAAGGTATTTTTGAGGAAACCGAATTGACATTACCGATTTTGAAAATATTTTCACACCAGATATATAGCAATTTTGTCAAAAGCAACATTCACATTTTAAGAAAAAAAAAATGAATTCTGTAAGCCAAAATTTTTATAAAGATGAAGTAAAATTTAGCAGTTTTCGACTATGAATATTTATTTTATTTTCGTAAATATTTATTTTCGAAAAAAGATCTGCAATCGAGATATGACTGAAAAAATCGTAAGACGAATGAATTGAAGGTTGCGAAAACAATTTTTGTTGTAGGTTACCCAGATTCTTTTTTTATCCGACAAAGTCATGCATTAGATACCAAGGAATTATCCAGTGCGCATGTGTGGCATGTCTGCATGTTCGCTAAGAAAAGTCTTTTACGTTTCCCTTTTTCAGGATGTTCTGTCCAAAAAAATTAACAATTTTTACAGGAAACATCTCTAATTAAAGGGTTAACACTTATTATACATAATAATACATTGCAACTTAGCAGACATTTAGGCATGCATTCCGCCGCAATTCAAATCTTTATACAAGAAAGAATGACCATATAAATATTTCACAGTTCCGAAGCGAGGCTCGTGGTGAATTTCTAATTTGACGCTAAGAAAAAAGATCTTTCACAATTTTCCTCCTAGAAATATTCAAAATTGAAAATTGAAAATGAAATAAAACGATTACGTCGACAATAAGTGAGAGGCGGTCACTTAAGAGTTACCAACTCCATTATTTATATACAAATGCTGGGTAACGATGCGAGGCCGACATTATCGTGTTCATATTTTCTTCTTATCCAATATTACATAACAACCACAAATACATGCATCAAGTGCAGACTTTCTGCATAAAAATCAGACTAGGTCTTCCGTAACACCTTTTAATTAACGTGCTGCCTGCAAACTCACCATTTATATAGTAAAAAAAAGGTGGAACAGTCCCGAAATTGTTCATCCAGGGTCTGCGCTGCATGTTCCAACCACTTACTTAATCGCAGTTGATATACGCCACGACGCATGCGTACCTACTGCCATTTTTTATTTTTCTTATGTCTTGTGTTACCAATATAGGGCTTAAAACTCAAGAACCATAACCTTCCCTGCCCAATTGTATTGTCTCTTCTCCAAGAATAACCTACCACACAGTCAAACTAACAACAATGTAAATGTGTGTAAAGTGAAAAACATTGCAAGGTATGAGCACATTTGTGATGCACATTATGTCACGGTCTGTGTGCATTGGTATGCACCTTCTTTTCCAGACCACTTCATTTCATCGAGTCCTGTGCAAATGAGTCGTGACTTGCATTTACACAATATGCTAATTATCAATCAATGTTCTTTTTACTGCTTCAAGGAAAATTAATCAAAAAAGATGAATAAACATTTACATATCCTAAACATGCTTCATAAATTTATTTATTTTTGGAAATTATTGGCTTACATCCATGGTACGAGGGAAGGCCAAGGCCGCACCGATCAATGTCATCGTCATCAAAACTAAAAACAAAGAAGTTCAACATACCCCCAAAAATCATCTGCGTCTTCCCCAAATGCATTGCGAACCTAAAAATAACACAATTCCTGATTTCGTAGAACGTTTCGAAGAAGGGGGACGGTTGTCAAGGAATTTCTCTCCTATAAATTAAACACAAACTTTCGACAAAATCCTGACGTACTATAATATATGTAATTGAATGAAAAGGGTGCTTACCTTTTAAAAACATAAGTACCGAGGAGGCTGT